TTATGTACTTATTTTTGCAATACTAAACTTTGTATATGCTAGGCAAATGCTCTATGACTGAGCTATATCCAAAACCCTCCCATATACTCTCCCATCTTTAGATGACATAATATTTAATACAACTAATTGCTACAGAAATCAAACAGTACAGATGCTTTGATGCTTTTTCCCCTTTCTATTTTCAACCTACAGATATGTAAGGCCAATTGTATATTGTGAATTTTTTTTTCTTTGTGGGGCTGGATTGGACTGAGAGCTTCAAGCAAGTTAGGCAAACACTTTACTTCTGAGCTATAACCCCAGCCACTGTTGTGAAATCTTACACACACACACACACAAAACTTTTTTTTAAATGAAGATAGTATCTTACTATGTCATTCAGGCTGTCCTTGAACAAAAAAAATCCTTGCGCCTTAGTACCTGGGACTATGTGTTTTCTACTGTGCCTGTTTTACCTTACTTAAAATCTTTTTGTATTAATGTGGTTTTGAAGTTAGAGCCTTTTGCTTGCTAAGCAGGCACACTACCTCCACTGCTTAAACCATGAATCCAGCCCTCGAACTAACCTTTGTTGTCGGTGGTGGTGGTTGTGAGCCTGAATTCTGAGCATTGTCCCTGAGCAATTTTGCTCAAGGCTAACACTCTACCACTCTGAGCAATGGGGCCACTTCTGGTATTCTGAGGGTTAAGGAGACAAGGGTCTCACAGACTTTCCTGCTTGGTCTGGCTTTGAACTGGGATTCTCAGATCTCAGCCTCCTGGCTTTGAACTCATTTCTTCAATAACCCCAAATTATATCTTAACTCATTTGTATTTCTCATGATGCCTACCAATTGATATTCACAAGAGGCTCAATATATTGTGTTTGATTGATTCTCTGATACATTCAAATTAGTTGTTACGTATTATAAAAATTTTAAAAAAGATCTTGGCTGGGAATGTGGTTTAGTGGTAGAGTGCTTGCCTAGCATGTATGAAGCCCTGGGTTTGATTCCTCAATACCACACAAACAGAAAAAGCTGGAAGTGACACTGTGGCTCAAGTGGTAGACTGCTAGCCTTGAGCAAAAGAAACTTTAGGACAGTTCCCAGGCCCTGAGTTCAAACCCCAGGCAAAAAAAAATCCTCAGCAGAGATTAAAAGCGAGAAGTAGATCACAAATAAACTATAAACTGTATGTTCTTGAAGTATCATATAATAACAATTGAGATAACACCTACCTGTTACCTTAAAATTGTAGCCTGATATTCCTGCTTATGCCTGCATGTCATTTTAAGTATATACAATATTGCCCTCATGATAACTTATAAGGACAGTTTGTTTTAGTATGTCCCTGGGCATACTACGTTTTCCTGAATGTATCCCAAGACTTCATGTTACTCACAATAGAAATGAAAGAATAGCAAAATGAATCAGAGTTCCATTTGGAATACTCCTCTCTCTCCTCCCTCCCTTCTCTCTCTCTTATTGTTGCCAGTATCAGGGCTTGAACTCAGAGCCTCTCTATTTATGGTTTCTTAATCACAGGCACACTTCCAATCTAACACTTTGCTGGTTACTTGGAGGTAGAATCTCAGACTTTTCTGCCCTCACTGGCTTTAAATTTCAGCTGCCCAGGTCTCAGCTTCATGAGTAGCTAGGATTATAGATATGAACCACATTGGTGCCCAGCTTTAGAATACCTACTTTTCAATGAGAAAAATATTTCAAGAGAGTTTTGTATTTTTCTGGAAGAATAGTTTTCACAAATGATTTATTTGTTTCTTTGTTTTGGAGATTGAACCCAGACTCTTGCGCTTGATTTCATCACTAAGCTATAACCCCTAAAAGCAATGTGTGTGTGTGTGTGTGTGTGTGTGTGTGTGTGTGTGCATGCGTGCATGCGTGCTCACTATTCCTGGGTATTGAACTCAGGGCCTAGATACTCTCCCTGACCTTTTGCTCAAAGCTAACATTCTACTCATTGAACCATAGCTTCCTTCCATCTTTTTGGTAGTTTATTAGAGGTAAAAGTCTCATTGATTCTATTATCTACTCACGCTGGCTTCAAATTGTCATCCTCAGATCTCAGCTTCCTGAGTAGTTAGTTATAGGCATGAAGCCACTGCTGGTTTGCTTTTTAATTAAAACAAAAACAACAACCAACAACAACAAAAAACAATGTGGTAAGCTGGGCACCAGTGGCTTACACCTGTAATCCTAACTACTCAGTAGGCTGAGATTCAAGGATTGTGGTTCAAAGGCAGCCTGGGTTGGAAAGTCTGTAAGACTCTTATTTCCAATTAACTACCAGAAAACCAAATGTGGTGCTGTGGCCCAAAGTAGTAGAGTGCTAGCCTTGAGCACAAAGCTCAGGGACAGTGTCCATACTCTGAGTTCAAGCCCCATTACTAACCAAAAAAAAAAAAAAAGAGTGTTGATGCACAAAATATCTTGTTGGTAGATGGTAGAATGGCTTATGGGACATGAAAGTTTAGTGATAAGCTGTTTGCACATACCCTGATATTTATTATTGAAAACTAGTAAAACAAGATTCATTGTAGATGCCTGAATAATATTATGATTATCTAATACCTATGTAAATTTCAGAAATTATTTAAATCAGAGTGGGATTCATAGAGTAAGGGAAAAAGATTAAGGTGTAAAACAGTCAGGCCCAAGTATGTTTTTAATGTTCAAATCAACAGCTTTGACTTTTACCCTCTGCTCCTTCTAAGCTACCAAACTGGCTTTTCTGGTGGCAGGCTTTGTTGGGATGAGTGACAGTTGGTAATATTTCTGTTTTGGTAAAAATCTCCTTTGAATTTTTGGGCTGTAGCCTCAACTCTTTTAACTCTTTCATCCTTTTATCTTTATCTTGTGTTCTTTTTGTCTCTGCTCAGGTTTTCTCGGATCTTGGTTTGCTTCCCTCAGCATCTTTTTGTAGTTCTTTCAGTCTTTCCAGTCTTGCTTTTCCAAGACTGTCTAGTTTTTTTATTTTGTTGTAAAAGTGCTATACAGAGGGGTTACAGTTACATAAGTAAGTTAAATGAGTACATTTCTTTTTCTTTTATTTTTATTGTGAAAATACTGTACAGAGGGGCTACAATTACATGGGCAAGATAATGAGTACATTTCTTGTCAAACATTGTTACCCATTCCTTTGTTTTTTGCTCCTAATTATCCCCCCTCTCCCCAACAAGGCTGTCTAGTTCTAAGCCTGTTTTCTTAGGCAAAGTGTTTGGGAAATGTCCTAGGGTGGGAAAGTAAACAAAGCAAGTTTGCATTTCAACTGTTGTGTGTGAGATGTTACTTGTTACAACAAATCTTTACAAACAAGTGCAATTGTTTTGGGGGAGTGTGCTTACAAAAGAGACACCCAATGACTCTCAGACCCTTTAGGATTACTATCATTAAGAAAAAAAAAAAAAAAGAAGGCTGGGAAGGTGGCTCAGTAGTAGAGTACTTACCTTACATGCATTAGGCCCTGGGTTCAATTCCTCAGCACCACATAAACAGAAAAAGCCGGAAGTGGCGCTGTGGCTCAAGTGGTAGAGCACTAGCCTTGAGCTGAAGAGCTGAGGGACAGCGCCCAGAGTTCAAACCCCACAACCAACAACAACAACAAAAAAAAGATACCTTGTTTTGTGCCCTGTGTCTTCTGTGTCCTGGCTCTTCAGGTCACTGTGGTGTCCCTCTACAGCTCTCCATTGGAGTTGATCTGGTTTGTTGGTGGTGTTTTTCTGCTCTTTCTTTGCTTTACTACTGTCATGGCTTCGTTTTCTAACAGTGTTAAGTGTACTTGGGAGCTGCAGGTCTTTGTGACAGGAGTCCTCCTGCATTTGTTGGCTTTCCAATAAAGACCCCCAATTTGAGAATGAGCGAGTGAGCAAGAGGTGGGGGAGGGGGCGGGGGTCAGGTGCCAGTGACACACACCTGTTATGCTAGTCAGGTTGCTGAGATTCTGAGGATTACTTCCAGAAGCTGGTGGCTCATACCTACAATCCTAGCTACTCAGGAAGCTGAGATCTGAGGATCAGCATTCAAAACCATTCAGGGCAGGAAAGTCCATGACTCTTATCTCCAAAAAGCTGGGAGTGAAGCTGTAGTTCAAAATGATAGAATTCTAGCCTTGAACACAAAAGCTCAGGGACAGTGCCCAGGTCCTGAATTCAAGCCTCACAACAGGCACCCAAACTAAAAAACAGTCTTCAGATTTCATTTCCAAAACAACCAGCAAAAAATCAAGCTGTAGGGCTGGGAAGGTGGCTTAGTGGTAGAGTGCTTGCCTTGCATGCTTGAGGCCTTGGGTTCAATTCCTCAGCACCACATAAGCAGAAAAAAAAAAAAGCCGGAAGTGGTGCTGTGGCTCAAGTGATAGAATGGTAGCCTTGAGCTGAAGAGCTGAGGGACAGCACCTAGGCCCAGTGTTCAGGCCCCACAACTGAGTCCCCCCCCCAAAAAAAAATCAATCTGTTGGTGTGTTTTAAGTCAACAAGCCAACCAAGTGTGAAGCCCTGAGTTTGAACCTCAGTAACAACAACAAAACCCCCAAAAACAGCTATTGGTGAAGATGTAGAGATATTGCAATCTTCATGCTTTGCCAATGGGGATATAAAATTTTATACTTAATTACCCCATGGTCCAACAATTCTACTCCTTAGGTATATGAATTAAAAGCAGGTGCACCAATGGTCATAGAAACTTTATGGACAAACTGTCTTACAAATTATCTCACAAATGGTGGCAGCATCCTGTTTCTATTTACTGATAAATGAGTAAACAAAATTGATTTATACATCCAATGGAATATTATTCAACCTGAAAAAGAAATGAAATCCTTTTGCCTACATTATAAATAAACCTTAGGGCTGGGAAGGTGGCTCAGTGTTAGAGTGCTTGCCTCGCATGCATGAGGCCCTGGGTTCAATTCCTCAGTACCACATAAGCAGAAAAAGCCGGAAGGATGGCCACGGCGGAGGAGGTGCTTGCAGGGTCTGGGAGCAGCTGAGCTGAGTCGCGATGTTCGGGATCAAGGGTCTTGCGCCTAAACTGGACCCTGAGGAGATGACACGGGAGATGCGCGGGGATGTGGTCTCCTCCATACAGAACTTTCTCATCTACGTGGCCCTGCTGCGAGTCACTCCATTTATCTTAAAGACATTGGACAGCATATGAAGACTTGGGTGTCAACCGTGACTGCATGATATGAAGAACCTGACTACAGTTTGTCCTCCTGTCTGCAAATGAATAGGCCCAGAAAGGTGTAAGAGACTCTGATTGAATGAATAGACATAAAAAATCTTCTTGTTCAGAACAAGTTGACTATGGTAATTGATCTTTGCAGTTAAAATATAAAACTATTTGGAAAGTTGTGGTTATCATGTGCCTTTATGCCTGTGGTATTTGGCTTCTGGGAGTGTTGGTGTAATGCTAAATAACATCAAACTCCACTTTCTAGCAAGTGTTAATTATAAGGGAAATATGTCTGAAATAGCACAGTCATTTCTGTTTACATTTTTGTGTCCAGAGTATATTTGTGAAGAGTCTTCTACAATTAGTTATGTTTTGCAGAAATCAGCAAACAACCACGATGACATTTAAGCACAGGACCTGTCATCAGCTCTTTATTTTAAATAAACATACCAATTGAGAAAAAAAAAAAAGAAAAAAGAAAAAGAAAACGCCGGAAGTGGGACTGTGGCTCAAGTGGTAAAGCACTAGCCTTGAGCTGAAGAGCTGAGGGACAGTGCCCAGGTCCAGAGTTCAGGCCCCACAACTGACAAGATAAATAAATAAATAAACCTTAACTATTATATTAAATAAATCAAGTAAAAATGGATAAAAATGGGACTGGGAATGTGGCTCAGTGGTAGAATGTTTGCCTCACATGCATGAGGCCCTGGGTTCGATTCCTTAGCACAACATAAGCAGAAAAAGCCGTAAGTAGTGCTGTGTCTAAAGTAGAGCCTTGAGCTGAAATGCTGAGGGACAGTGCCCAGACCCAGAGTTTAGGCTCCATGACCAACAAAAAAAAAGGATAAATACTGTATGATTGTATTTATGTGAAGTGCTTGGAGCAATCAAATGCATGGGATGACAAGCAGAATCATGGTTTCCAGGAGCAAGTGGAATGGGATTTGTTTAATGGGTAGTTTCTGTGTTGCAGTAATAAATTCTCATGGAAAGCAATAATGACTGCGCTTTCTTTTTTTTTGGGGGGGGGTCTGGTTGTGGGGCCTGAACTCTGGGCCTGGGTGCTGTCCCTCAGCTCTTCAGCTCAAGGCTAGTGCTTTACCACTTGAGCCACAGTGTCACTTCTGGCTTTTTTCTTTTTGCTTATGTGGTGCTGAGGAATCGAACCCAGGGCCTCTGGCATGCAAGGCAAGCACTCTACCACTGAGCCACCGTCCCAGCCCATGGCTGCACATTTTTTGTCATTGAATTGTACAATTAAATTGACTGAACTGATAAATTCTGTTGAATGTATTTTACCACACACATAAATGTGTACCTTTGGCCAGCCCAAATTTGGTTCCTCTAAATTGTCTTTTCCAGGGGCTGGGAAGGTGACTCAGTGGTTGAGTGCTTGCCTTGCATGCATGAGGCCCTGGGTTCAATTCCTTAGCACCATATAAGCAGAAAAAGCCAAAAGTGGCACTGTGGCTCAAGTGGTAGAGTGCTAGTCTTGAGCTGAATTGCTGAGGGACAGGGCCGAGGCCCAGAATTCAGGCCCTATGACCAACAAAAACCAAACCAAACAAACAAAAACAACACAAATAATGTGTCTTCTCCAAATGAGAGTCATCTCTGGGCTTTCTGAATCAGCTTTGGGTCTGTAACAACTCTAGGGCTTGGAAGAGAATGAGCATTGCTTCAATGAGTTCCCAGTCAGCCAAGAGAAGTAATCAGTTATTTATGCCTCCTATGGTGTAGGGCTTATGGTCATACTATTTTCTGGAATAATTAAGGGGGCTGGACTCCTTGGGAAAGAAGTGGGCTGAGTATAGACACAGGGGAATGTTAAGACAGAAAGTTCATCTGCATTCTTTTTGTTGTTGTTGTTGTCATTGTGGGCTTGAATTCAGGGCCTGAGTGCTGTCTCTGAGCCCCTTAGTGCTAAAAGCTAGCACTTGAGCCACTTTTGGTTTTTGAGTGGTTAATCAGAGATAAGAGTCTCACAGGGATTTTTCTGCCTGGGCTCTCTTTGAACAAGATCGTCAGCTCTCAGTCTCCTGAGTAGCTAGCATTATAGGCGTTATAGCATTATAGTATATAGCTAGTATTATGAGCCTCTAGTGCAGGGCTTCTGCGTTCTTAAGTTCTTAAGACCTCAAAGTGTTTACTGTACAAGCTGCAGCACTCAAGCTGACAATAAATCAAACTTATTTCTATGGCTTTTTTTCCTTTGTCCTGGGCCTTGAACTCTTGCCCTGGGCACTGTTCCTCAGCTCTTTAGCTCAGTGCAAGCACTCTACCACTAGAGCCACAGCGCCACTTCATGTTTCCTGGTGGTTAATCAGAGATAAGAGTCTCACAAGTACTTTCCTGCCTGGGCTGGCTTTGAACTGTGATCCTCAGATCTCAGCCTACTGAGTAGCTAGGATTACAGGTGTGAGCCAAAGGCGCTAGGCAGATAATTTCTTTATGGAGCCTTTAAAGAGAATCTAGAAAGCAGTATAGATAAATAGATAGATGCTGAAGCCAGACAGATATTGGTGGTTCATGACTATAATCCTAGCTACTCAGGAGGCTAAGATCTGAAGATCATGATTCTAAGACTACTGGGGTAGGAAAATTGATAAGACACTTATCTCCAATTAATCACTAGAAAACAAGAAGTGGAGCTGTGGTTCAAAGTGGTAGAGTGGACAGAGTCTAGGCTCCAAGTTCAAGCCCTAGCACCCCCCCCCCCAAAAAAAAGAAAAAAAAACAGAGCAAGGTATTGGTGGCTTGCTGATGGCTTGAGAATTTCTATTTGAATGAACGGTAACAGAAGCACATTATCTGTGTGAAAAGCTGAATGTGTTTTGTTTTTTAAACTATAGAATCTACTTAGTGTTCTCTACACACAAGTTGTAGTTAGAATTGGGATCCTGGTAATCACTTCTATTTGGAACACTCCCTTAGTCATACTGACCTCTTAACTACTTTGGTGAAACATCAGACAGGAAAATTCCTTAGGCATTATGACACTTCAGGAAATTAGGACTGGGTTGCCTTAAGCAATTTAGGTACGCTTTTGGATTTCAATCAGGTCAAAAGCAATGTTTCACAGCTGCAGAGGTATCGCTGATAAAATAGTCACAGTTTAGACTCCTCCTGCTGGCCACACCAAGTCAAGACAGTGAGCTTCATTTGCAGAATTACAGTTTGGTGATTTGTTACAACTCTCTGGCCTTTTTGTTAAATTCTCAGATGATCCTTTACATCATAGAAAACATAGCTGAGGACTTTTGTTTTTTGGTTCAAGAATTCTGTCTAGAGCTGAGCGCCAGTAGCTCACACCTGTAATCCTAGGTTCTCAGTAGGCTGAGATCTGAAGATCACAGATCAAAGCCAGCCTGGGTAGGAAAGTCTGGGAGACTTTTACCTCTAATAAACCACCAGAAAACCAGAAGTGGCGCTCTGGTTTAAGTGGTAGAGTTGTCTCCTTGAGCTAAAGAGCTCAGGGACAGCGCCCAGATCTAGATTTCAGCATCTTTACTTGAAAGTAGAATATTCAACAAAGATAAGGCATAAGAAAAGAAAACATTTAGGGAATTTAGGAAGGGGGGTCAATATTAGTCAGTGGAATCAGTAAGAGCCACTGTAAGATACAAACAGAAACTAGAGCTCTGGAAGCAAAGAAATCCTACTGCTACATGTTTCCAAATATTTAACAGACTTTAAAGACATCCCTTTAACTTTGTGCTTTAAGTAATAAGCTACGTAAGTCTAGGATGTTCTTTGCTTGTTTGATTATAACAACATCTTTCCAACAAAGCCATGCTGGCTTTGAACTCATAATCTTTTTGCCTCAATATCTAGAATTCCAGGCATGCTCCACCACACCTGTTTAGTATGCCCTTTTAAGATAAAATAGATATCTACTTGTCTGGAATGTTAGATCGCTTTCAACTATTGCTGGAATCTTACTATTCTTTCCTACACAGAAAAATGGGTGGTGGGAGAATGATGGAAGGTATGATATTGATCAAGATGCATTGCACTCATAAACCAACATGTTAAATTGAAACCCTTTGTACAGCTACTTAAAGGTAACAATAACTGGGCTGGGAAGTTGGCTCAGTGGTAGAGTGCTTGCCTTGCATGCATGAGGCCCTGGGTTCGATTTCCCAGCACCACATAAGCAAAAAGAAAAAAAAGCCGGAAACGATGCTGTGGCTCAAGTGGTAGAGTGCTAGCCTTGAGCTGAAGAGCTGAGAGACAGTGCTCAGGCCCAGAGTTCAGGCCCCACGACCAACCCCCCCCCAAAAAAAGATAACAATAACAACAACAATAATAAAACAGCCTTATGGAATGCCCTGATGAAACTCAAGTGCCAAACCAAAGTGGCCAGGGGAGGTAAAAACCAGAACAAAAGTATTCTTATGACAGGCCAGTGTACTTTGCTAGATAGAGTTCATCAAGAGAAGTGGCTTGGGCAGTGTCTAAGTTGAGACAGGGAGGAACTGGCTGTAATAGGTACATGCAGTGTCGCCATGGCAAGTCCTTGTGAATCTGCTTCCTTCAGAGGATCTGTAATTAGTCCTGCAGAAAGTACTACCAGCTGCAGCATTCCCTTTCTGACCCAGTGGTGTTAGGTTGATATATGCAGTCTAGCATCAGAGCTTCCTACACATAGTTTGTTTTTTGTTTTTGTTTTTTGTTTTGTCCATCATGGGGCTTGAACTCAGGGCTTAGGTACTGTCCCAGAGCTTTTTCTGTCAAGGCTAGTAGTGCTCTACTACTTTGAGCTACTAGGTCACTTCTGGTTTTCTAGTGATTAATTGGAGATAAGAGTCTCACAGATTTTTCCTGCCCAGGCTGGCTCTAAACCAGATCTCCTGAGTAGCTAGGATTACAGGCATGAGCCACCGGCACCTAGCTTATTTTTCCCATTTTTCAAATAACTGACATTACAAGTTTATTAGAAAAACAGGAAGGAATTGAGGCCTATGCAACTTATATATGGCAGGGTATCCTCCTGACAAAATATGGGCTGGGGCTACAAACAAATGAGGAAATAAGGATCTTTGGCCCCAGAATCTTATAAGAAACAGAATGCAGACTCATCTTTAAGGACTCCAGTTTTCCCTATTTAACTGAAGGCTAGTCTCTGAGAGGATAGAACAAGATGGTTGAGATGGGCTAAAGTGCTGTCTTCCCGTGTCATGTCTGTCACATGTTCTTTTTTTTTAAATACATTTTTATTGTGAAAATACTGTACAGAGGGGTTACAATTACACGAGTATGTCACATGGTCTTTACCGTATTTTTTTTCTAACCAACTTTCCTATCTTTATTTACGTTCATGTCTTCTTGAATTCTTCTCTTGTCGGACTGGGGTCAACGTAGTTGCACTAAATTTCTAGTAATACTGGTTCCTCTTCCCATAAATCCCAAATCCAGCATTACAGGTCTTTCTTTCTCTCTCTCTCTCTCTTTCTTTCTTTCTTTTCCCTTCCTTCCTTCTTTCTTTTCTTGTTGGTTGTGGGGCTTGAACTTGTGCCTGGGCACTGTCCCTGAGCCTCTTTGTGCTCAAGGCTAGTGCCGAACCACTTGAGCCACAGCACCATTCCTGGTTTTTGAGTGGTTAATTGTAGATAAGAGTCTCATGGAGACTTTTCTGCCTGGGCTGGCTTTGAACGAGGATCTTCAGCTCTCAGCCTACTGAGTAGCTAGGATTATAGGCATGAGCCATTGGTGCCAGGCCGAGTTATGGTTTTATACAAGGGTTCCCCTAATATCCCATTTGTTTTTCTCTTTCTTTCTTTCTTTTTTTTTTT